ACAGACTATAAGTGTCCATATAGTTTCTGGGAGCTGTGTATGCTACGTTGCTTTTAGAAACATCTTTTGTTTTCCTTAGCCCTCTGGTCACCTCCTCTACTGCATTCAGGTCCCTGAGTTATGGACTCTGCCTCCCTTGCGTCGGTTCAAGTGGTCCCTGTTGGCTTTCCAGAGACACTGATGGGTTTTTACCGAAAAAAAATTAATAAGTTACTGTGCATCCTGTTTTGAAACTGAAAGAATCACTCGGAGAGCAGGAGATTGTGGACCCCTAACGCCCCTGCTGGCTGAGAAGGGGGTGGGTGACTGCTTTCAGACGGGCAGGAGTTCACCGGGATGGGCCAGCTGTATTCTGGCCTTCCTCACATCCCAGTGGAAAACAGTGTGAATGGAATGACAGTTTTAATGGACCACCTGCCGGAAGACAGCCACAAGTCTGCCAGGACCGGAGTATCCTACCAACAACTCATATTATGGTCCTTGGGGTGCCCAGTTAGCCTCTCCCTTCCCTTCCCAGCATAATGACCCGGATGAGGTTGGAGTCACAAAGGGAGGGGGTAGAGGCCGTTAGCCTCACCTTGGGGGAAGGGAGGGCTCAAGGTTTCATTTTTACTCTGGATAACCAGCAGTGGATGGAATGTCCGGTGCATCTCAGGCTGCTAGAGGGCTCAGCGAGAAACTGGCAATTACCAAGTTGTTGCAGAGCTAAGTTCTTTCCCTTGACTTTGACGTGCCATGCATGCAAACCCCCGCTGCTGCGTCTCGGGTCTGCAATTAGCCCTAAATCCTCCAGTAACAGAACCTGCACTATCCGGGTCACTCAGAGCCGGCGCTCTAATTTTTAGCACTCCGGGTCTGCTTATAACCCCGGAAGACCGTGAGCTGTAGATCTGTTTCAAACGTCCTATCCGCCCCAAGAATCTGTCCCACTCAGACAAATGCTCTAACTAAGGCCTTCCCTTACCCATGTGTTTGTACCGCTGCGGGGAGAATGAAGCACTCGTAGTCACCATGGAACAACGTCTCCACAAGTTACTCACTAATTCCGCCAACAACGAACTTCTGGGCGAGTGAGCCCCTGCCTGGATAGCCACATCCATCCCGGTTTAAAGACCGGGTGAACCCGAATAAAAGACCCTGGTACAGCAAAGATCCTGCTCGCTGCTGCTTACTCTTAAGCGGGACTAACCATCGCGCTCTAGGGGCAGCGCAGCCCGAATGCCCGCGGGGGTTCCTGATCCCAGAGAAAGTACCCAAATTCCGGGCCCTGGCCTGCCTTAACCTAGTAACTTGGGAAAGCCTAGGTAAAGTCCTCCCCGCCCAGCTGGCTTCCCGGGATGACGTTCTACTACTAGTCCAAGGCCTCTGCCCTCCACTCCATGGTACCCGACTGCCCTGATTATAAAGATTCGCTTTATTTTGGGCAGGCAAGTGGTGCCTAGAAAGCCAACAAGGGACAGAAGTGGGCTGAGGCTGGGTTCCGGCCACTTGTCAGAGTGTCTGCCTGCGAGGCAATCCTCGGAACTAGTGCTCCTCCGGGTACAGCGAGCCAGTGCCAGGTCTCACCTTAGTCCGGTCGAGGGTGAAGGTTAGCAGCATCTAGGTCTCTCCTGAAATGTCCTTCCTTGTGTCCAGTGGCCTTTGCTCATCAACCAATCATCTAAGCTGGCAGGGACAAGGTCTTGCTGTGACTCCATTGGAGGGCACCCGATCTGCTCTTTTATACTAAGATTTCACCCTCCACGCTGGAGAAATTATTTTCCAACTCCAAACTCACAGACACCAGCACAATTTCAACAAGAGACGCCTCAGGGGCAGCATACAGTGGCCTTAGCCCTGGTTCCAGGATGCACCAGGCTGGGGTCACTGCCTGGCTGACAACTCACACCCCTAAACTCTGGGACGGGGATTCTCCCTTCCTTTTGCATCACTGGGAGGTGGCCAGGAGGAGCAGGTCCAGCAGTGAGAGCTGACTAGCAAGGGGTTTGGATGAGGAGGCTGTGAGAAACGGAGAGGCTGGTCTGGGCCAGCCCAGGCACATGGCTCTTTGGTGGAGGCTCACCCATTTCAGACTCGCCCGAGCTCTGGGCACTTACCAGCTCTCCGACTGGCATTCTTCTTCTCTATGCTGTTGCTCTCTCAACTTACAGCAGGCATGTCTGGCCACACCATCCTCTTGCCCACAGTTACCCTTCTCACATTTTTCAGAACACTCAAGAGGTCTTAGTCACCCCAGCCCAGAAGGCTGAGGGACAGAATGGGGACAACTCCAATTTGGTCCTTCCTCACAGGTCTTTCAACACAAAAGCCTTGGTATCTATCTGTCTTCCAGAGTTTCTTCTGCACATTCTGAGAGCAGAAAAGCTACTGGTGGGGTCGTGGTTCTCCAAGAAGCCCGGTGTTTTCTCCCCCACATCTTCCTGGCTCTGGCTACTCTTCTGGGGCTGTGGATGCCAGCTGGAATCATCAATGGCTCCACAGACAGGGGTGGATGCCACTTCCTTAAGATGCCCCTCGGAAGATTCTGACCCAAGTACCCCGGAAGGTCATCAACACGGGTGGACAGGTGGATGGGGCTTGCCTCTCTGGACCCCCTGTGGTTCAGAGTTTTTTTTTTTCCCCAAGGGAGCAGGAAGGGAAACTTAATATTCCCAGGTGCCAGGGCAAAACTCTCTGGCTGCTGGGGGAGGGGAAGCTGTAAAAGGTGTATGGAAGAAGGTCCCTAAGAATCGTGTCCCACAGAGTCTGACAAGACTGGTTTTTTAAACAGTCAGTATCTAAATATTATGTCCAGTTCTCATGATCTGATGGGAGCTGCAGCTTGGAGTGGCTTATCCTGAATCACACAGTGGACTTCTGTAACAGCCCCCCCCAACACACAGTGTTCAAACATATTTTCCAGGCTAGCTGGTGGGGGAAGAGTGAAAGGAGGAAGCTCTAGAGAGTTGAACTGCTCTGACATCACTTCATGGAATAAAGCCTTGGAACTGGCCCCCTGCCACCTACTGGCACTCAAGAGCTTAGACCAGGGATCAGGGATCGCACCCTGGCAGACGCTTAGACAGGGTGCTTGATAGGTCCCTGATCATCTGTCACCTCTAGGTTGGGGTCATTTCTGTCTCTGAGACCAAGTAGCTGAGTACCGAGGCCTTCCCAGAAAGCTCCTCTGATGTCATCAGATCATTCTGCAGGGACTGGTAGTGGACAGGGCAGCAGAGGACAGTTGTGGAGTTCGGCGTTTCTTGGAAAGAAGTCTGATGCATGCGGAGAAAGCTTGATGTATATGTGTGTTTTGTGTTTGAGTTCACACATGTTGGACAGTTCACTTGTGTACTAATACATCCAGGAGGGAGAGCACTTGTGTGATAATGCATTGAAGGCTTCTGTATTTGAGTGTAAGGGATGATACTGCCATCTGTTTCCCTACAGTAGGCATTGGTGCTATCCATAATGAATGGGATATAGCAGGTTCTCAATAATTGTAGCCAGAATCAAAGTTAAAAGTGTATCTTCTTTTCCACGTGATAATTTACAGTCTGTTTTCCCATGAGCATGGGACTAGCGATGACTTGGAACACAGAGGCTACTGGATTGTCTTTATCCAGAGAAGTAATTGTGCACAAGTGTGGGCTATGACATCACCAAGCAGTCTGGCCAAGTGGGCTGACACAGGCAGCTAGCTCTGTTTGGAACTCTCCGGACAGATCTTCAGGCAGTAGCTGCTCGCTCTGCTTGCCTCAGGTCAGAGGAAGTTAGGCTGCACATTCGGCACAAGAGCAAACCAGTTCCAGAGAGCACTTGAGAAGTTTCCTGAAAGCAGGGAGTCCCAAAGAGGCCAAGGGTACTCCGGGGCTGGCCTTTCTCGAGGCTGCAGAAGTGGAGGGGCCCTGGGTGTGTGCCCCGGCATAGGAATCCAGCCTCCAGATTTGCATATTCCCCTTGAACTCCAGGCCTGCACAAAGGTGTGTCTTCGATGCCCATTAGTTCATTCAACTGCCTGAGTCATGGGTGAAGAAACTTTTGATTAAAAAAGAAATTGAGAGACGAGTTCTGATGAGTTTTTGGTGGAAACAGGAAGTGTTGGTTTTATTAGAAAGGAAAAGTTCCAAGAGGTCCTAGGGCCCAGCAAATGTCTCTTTACTTCTATCCCTTCCAGTCCAGTGTAAGCAGACACTGCCCTTTGTCGTCCTGTTCCTTCCTCGCCACTGCTACTGGGAATCATATGGAAAAGCCTTAACTTCCTCCTCACCGAGTCTTGCCTGATTTGGATCTGTCTGGACCAGCCTGGAACTCCAGACCGAAAACAATACTGTAGGTTTCCTTTACAGCTAGAGCCGCGATAGCAGCCACCACCCTCAGGAGCTCGTAGGCCTGCCCCTGGGAGCCGCCCACTTGCTGGCATCCTCAACACTGGCCCTCGGGGCGGTCCCCTCTCCGTCTCCTCCACTGTACCCACTACAGGTCGCCAAACTCAGTTTCTCCACAGTTAGGCAGGGGTGTGTTCTGGAAACACAGGTCTCAGCCGCTGCGTGTGGTCCAGCGAATCGGCCCAGACTGTCGTCTTCGGTTCTAGTGACTTCGACCATGCTGAGAAGTAATTCGGACTCAAAATTTTGCCAGTCCAATTTTCCTCCCATACCCCACAACTCCAAACCCATCTACTACCTCTCAACTCCCTCAACAACCCCAGCAGTGGTGTGTGGGAGGGGGGCGGGGGTCAGGAGGGGGCTCGCTGTGGTGGCTGCAGTGGAAGCCGGAAGTTTGGTCCTTGTTTCTGATGAGCACTCTGCCGGAGGGGGGGGGGGGAGAAAGAATGGACTAAGGTCTTAGTGAGAGGAGGTTTCAGAGTTTTCAGTCCCCTCCCTTCACCTTGCCAGAGGAACACTATGAAGGAAGACCTAGTCAGGTTTCCAGGACTCTACCCCAGTATCACTGCCCAGAACTGCCCACCCCGGGGTATCAGTCCCTGTAAGGAAATCAGACTCTGTTACACACCAAGCGCTGGGCCTTGGGGCATATATCCATATATTTATGATTTCTAATTTTATTATAAAATAAAAGCAGAAATATCTCCCGACGAACATTCACAAGAGGGCATAAAAGGGAAAAGGCAAGTTTGTGGCTGGGGAGGCACTGTGGGCTGGGAGCGCGGGGGTCACAGTCCTAGGAGGAAGAGGACGACCAGCTGGGGGGAAGGGGGAAGGAGGCATACGGGAGGGAGGGAGGTGGAAGGAGGAAGAGAAAGGGGAAGGAGGAAGGAGAGAGAGAGAGAGAGAGAGAGAGAGAGAGAGAGAGAGAGAGAGAGAGAGAGAGAGAGAGAGAGAGAGAGAGGAAAGAAGAGAGAGATCACCACGATAACTCCAGAAATTTAGAAAGAAGGGGGGAGAAAAACAAGAAGGGGAAAGAGAAAAGAGACAGAGACGGAAAGGGGAGAAATAAGAAACCCGAAAGGAACGTGGAGGAAAGGAAGAGGGAGAGAAGGGATGAGAAAAATCGGGGTGGTGGTGGTGGTTTATAATTTATTCCCTTGCCTGGTTCAAGACCAAGTCCTGGCCTCCAAAGGATCTCAAAAGCAACTTGTTGAAAAGAAATCCCCCAAAGGGCCACGCGCAGACAACTGTCCATTTTGTCCTGCCCGCCAGTCTTGCTGTGCTCCTGTGGTCTTCCAGTACCCGGGTAGGGACTTCAGCACCCACGGCCCTCCCGCACCGCCTCAAGTCCTCGCACCAAGCTCGGAAAGCAAGTGCCCGGAGCAGAGCTCTAGGAGCCCAGGTCCACAAGGTTGGCAGACATAGGGTTGAGTATGGAGTCCTGTAGGCTGTGGTGGTGCTGCAGAGGGTCTGGGCCGCCTCCGCCCGGCACTGGCACAGGTACTGCGCTGGGGCCGGGAGGGTGGCCTAGGCTGTGCAGGGAGGGCAGCCCTGGAGGCGGCGGCGGGCTGAGCAGCAACGCGGGACTGGACGACGAGTGGTCTGGCGTCCCCGACGGCGTCTTCTCATCTTCAGAGCTGCCTAGCACCGACTTGCCGCTGCCGTTGAGCGAGGAAGCCAGCGGGTTGTGGCTGCTGGAGTTGGAGTTTTCACTGTTCTCCCTGCAAGCGCAGGAGCAAAGCATTGGGGTCAGTGGGAAAGCCGCTCCGAGCCACCCCTCAGGACACCAGCACCCGAGGCCATTCTTGGGACTCAGTGCCATAGCGGTCGCTAAAGGGTGTTTTCGGTTTCTACCATTTTGACACCCGCATTTGGTTCTTTGCAACCCCGCGCGCCGGACACTCTGATTTTCTCTTGTCCTTCTCCCGGGATCAGCCCATGTTCTTAATCCCATGACTACCTTTTCTGCTCTCTGTATGTCCTGTCCTAGTCTCTCACCCCATTTCTTCCCTGAAGCAGAAACACCAAAGGGGTGTCTGGAGTTGGGGGTATGAGGAGGCAGAGCTTGGGTTTTCAAATCACTTAGGTTGGACAAACTAGGTTGACTGGCAGAAGCTCCAGATACTGTGATCCCTGGCTGAGGCTCCCACTTGGAGTTGGATAAGTACAGGCCTCATTTCCCCTCGCCTTTCTCTGCCCGAGGGAACTCCTGGTTGCCCATGGACTTGGGTGGGTGGGTGAGAGCTCCTGAGAATACATTTTCTCAATTTGAAACTAAGCAGGCCCCGTGAGTTCTATTTGCCTGGGCATAAGGATCAGATTTGAGGTTGGAGGACTTTTCCCTAGACGCTGCTGAAAAATTTAGCAGGGCACTGGAAGCTCAGAGTGGAGAGCCGCCCCCAGGGGAAGCTAGAAAGAAGGACCGGGTGGCTATTAAAGACCTGGTTCTTTCGATCATAACCAGAACCCCGCACAATCCGCAGCTCTCACCAGGGGCCTGGTCAGAAACCCTAACTGTTCAAGAGCTTATGTAACTCGGTGCCAGCCTGAGAGTGAACCCAGTATGGAGGGCCTTGAGAGCTCACCTCCCGTCCTGCTTTGTGGACAGTCCCTGTCGGGATATGTGTATTTGAAATCTTGGGCGAAACCTCTTTGTGGATTCCTAACAGTTGTTCTTTCTGATTTCTTGAGGTAGCATTTACGGGGCTTGCAGTTGAGTGAGTGAGTGAGACCTCATCACCACGGATAATCCGATGTCAAGATTCCAAATACCCAGGTCCAGTTTGCAGCCTGCTCATCTTCCCCGCTGTCCAGCACCCTGACCCCGGACTAGGATGATTCAAAATCTGTGATGAACACACCTCACACCACCTAACCCAGGCGTCTTGTTTTACAGTTGCCTGAAAGAGAGAGAGTCTGCTCTCATGCCCCGTTTCTCTCCAGTTCCCTCATTGAGATTAAAACTCCGAGCGAGCGGTTGCAGACGGTCACAGGGGCCTTCACGCTTAGGTTAGTTCAGCAAGTCTTGGGTTCCGAGAGGAAATACAACTCCCAGCGCTTAGGAAGATCTCAGTTTACCGTATACACCCGACTTGCCCATCAAAGAGGGTAGGAACCGAGGAGAGAAAGGTCAAAGGTCTGGCAAGTCCTGGAAGGCTTGCTGGATTCAGCAGGCCAGAAAAGAGCTACAGGTTCGTCATCTCTCCCACGACTGACACTTCCTCCCTGGGGCGCTTCATCACTCGGTCCCTTCCACGCGGGATAACTCCCAACTCCCTTGTCCTCAGCTCTTATGTCAATATCCTTGCCCAGATATTGCCTTCATTGCCCGGATAGTACTAGGGAGGTTCCAATCTCAGCTCTGATCATCCCCCGCTTTGACCTAGAGGTGAAGTCCGAAACCGTCTCTGATCCCCATGCCCAGGGTTGTCAGAGAAAGAGCGGGTCCTGAGCCTATGCCTACCTCGCAGGAGAGTCAGGCCCACGGCCCTGCGCTCTCTGAAACTCTATTTTTCCAATCTAGTCCACAAGCGACTAGGGAATTAGTTGAGAATTTACACACTACTTTGCCCGCTTTAGACAAATTCCTGACCGGGGAGTCTCCAGCGAGATCTAAGCGCTGTTTTGAGCCAAGGTGGGTAGCTGCCGGGGGGTATAACCTGGCCCTGGGTCCAGTTTAATCGGGAGCACACCATCCCCCGACCCTCGGGACCGGGGAAGCCGGCGCCGATGTTCTACTTACTCGTACCTTTCCTTGGCTTCGGCCGCCCGGTCGCGCTGCCGCCGGTTTTTGAACCAGTTGCTGACCTGCGTGGTGGTGAGGCCGGTGGCCTCTGCCAGCTCGCGCTTCTCCCGAGGCGACGGGTAGGGGTTGTGAGCGTACCACTCGCGCAGCACGCTGCGGCTCTTCTCCTTGAAGCAGTAGCTGGTCTCCTCGCCGTCCCAGATGGAGCGCGGCAGCGGGAACTTGCGTCGCACGCGGTACTTGCCCACGGCGCCCAGGGGCCGGCCGCGCAGTTTCTCCGCCTCGATGTAGTGCGCTTTGAGCCACAGCTGCTGCAGCTTGGCGTGATTGTGCGGCGAGAATTGGTGGCTCTCCAGGATTTTGTAGAGCTCGCGGAAGTTGCCCCGGTGGAAGGCCACCACGGCCTTGGCCTTGAGCACGCTTTCATTCTTGTGGAGGTGTTCGCAGGCGGGCAGCGACCACAGGAAGCGACCCAGCCGCTCGATGTTGCCGCCCTGCTGCAGCACCTCGCACACGCACGCCACTTGCTCCTGCGTGAAGCCGAAGGTGGGCAGCATGGACATGGTGCCGGCTGCGCCCTCGCCCGCCCGCCCGCCCGCCCGCGCGCGCCCTCACCGAGCCTCGAGGCCCCGCATGGGCGCCTCCCCGCCGGCCTGGCCCGGCCGACAGGCGGGCGGGGCCCCCTGGCCAGGCGCTGGCTCCCGGGCGACTCCTGAGTCACTGCGGTCGGTCCTCGCTCCCGCCGTCCGCCCCGCGCAGCTCCGCGACCCCGCCGCCCGCGTGCCTTGCCCGCGCCCAAGCCCGGGGGCTGCCCGGGGCGCCGCTCCGCATGCTCCGCCCGCCGCTTGTTCGCTCGTTCCTCGCTCGCTCTCCCTCCCGTCTAGCTCGCTCGCAGCTTTTTTAATAATATTATTCTAAGCGGGCATGAGGCGCGGCGGCCCGCGCCCTGATTGGTCGGGTTATCTGACCCGGGGCTTGCCCGCGCCAGACAATAGTCGAGTCAAATTATTCGCCATGGAGACGCTGTCAGTCACCGGTAACCCGAGCCCCGGCGGCCGGGGCTGCTCCCCCCTGGCCGGCTCCGCTGACAGATCGCCCCGGCACTGCACATAGCGAAGGGCGGCCGAGACAGGAGCCCCAGGCACTCCCAGAGCCTGGGAGGCGGAGAGGGGCCGGGCTGGGGCCCGAGACGGCGGTGATTGACGGGGCGGACGCCCAAAGAGCGAAGGAGGAGGAGGACCCCGAAGGAGGGGGGCTGAATGGGGGCCCCCGAAGAAAAGAGGAGGACTGAGGTGGGAAGGGAAGGAAGAGGGTAGAAGGTAACGCGGAGGACCGTTTAAGGGGGTGCCTTGCAGGAAGGAGAAAGAGGGGGAACAGAAGGCGCCTACAAGGGGGAAGCCGTGTGGGACACTTTTTTTTTTTTAACTAGGGCGACGCAACAGCGTTGTCCAGGCCTTGCCAGGTGCTCCAGCCCCGGCTGGGTCACCGCGTCGCTCGGAAGGTCGCAGCTGTCAGGTAGAGACACTGTAACCCAGGAGGAGGTCCGTGGGATGGAGAGTTTGGTTCCTCTGAAGGGGCCTCTGAAAGTCTCGGCTTTTCCGTCTGACAACGCCCCACCCCCAAGCTAGAAACCCGGGAGCTGTCCTCCAGGGAAATGGGGAGGAGGTGGGGAGAGAAGTCGGAGATTTGGCAGTGGCCGCAGCTGGACGCCTGAGAATCAACTTCCCGGAGTATCCCGCCTTTCCTTCCTTTCGGAGCGGGCTGGCTGCCCCGCGGCCGGTACCGCCCCTACTCGGCGCGTTTTGCTTCGCGCCAGGCTGGGACTCAGACTTTAACCCCACGGGGCCCAAGGCCGGAGAAACTCTGGGCAGTGCTGGTATGACCTCTGCGGAAGTTGGCTCTTGCATGGACGACGACGCAAAACCAAGCAGCCGGGTAGACCCGCAGACTGCCCTCGGGGAGCCCAGGGAAGCCAGTGTAGGATGATTGCAGCGCTTCCCGGGTAGTTAGTGTGCAGGAGAAAGAGAGAGAGAAGAGGCAGGATCCACCAGCTTGCAGCCTCTTCACTCCCGGTCGCTTCAGCCTGAGAACCCAGCTTTGGGGGCATGGGGCCTTAGAAAGGGGGGTAGGAGGTGTCTCTGCTTTTGCCTTCTTTGTCAGAACACCTCGAGAAAACGCTGCTGCTTTGGGAAAATGTGCAAAAAGGACAAGGGAGCCTTGGGGGTTGTGCGCAGGAAAGGGGGTGTCCCTGCAGTTTCTAGGGTTTGAAAAGCCGGAGTTTATTTTCTTGCCCAACTTGCCCTTTGCATATCTGTCCCCCCTCCCCGCTGCCGCTCCGCCCCTTTCCCACCCAGGTTTCTGGGTGCAAATTCCTAGTGACATTCTCAAGGCAGCACAGGCCACAACTGTTCACAGAGTAATTTCTAGGCCTCATTTTTTTGTTACCACCCCTGTAAACTTTCGAAGGGGATGGAGAGAGAGATATTGAAAATAGGGGAGTCTAGATCCTCAGCTTTGATTTTGGGCTTTGCTGGTTGTTTATGGGTAATATACATATTTATTTATTTGAGGATACAGCATGATTTCCTAAACTTCCCCTCTGCTCTAGAATGCCAAAAGCCGTTTGGTGGTGATACAAGCATGGGCCAGTGGAGAGCTCAGACTTTGCCTAAAAGGTGGTTCCAGGAGGCCCGACCCCTTGAGTTGAGGACACTCAACTTAAGTTGAGGACTGCCTAAGAAGGTGTTAAACCAGCACAAGGATCATAAGTCCCTGCAGAAATCCAGAAGTCTTTGTAGACTTCTTCGGTGGGTAGGGCAGATCTTCAGGTAGCCTATCTGAAGACCCATGGTGTGGTTCTTGACCTTGAGTGAGCTGTGAGGATCCTGAGAGACCTGGAAAATATACTACCCAGAATAGGCTCAGAGTCTATCTTGCTGCTAAGGGTAACTTAGTAGCCAGAGATATACCTTGAAAAAGGTAGCTTTTCCAAGCGTCTCTCCTCAGCCACATAGTTAAAAGGACTCAGGTGATGCCAGCTCTGGTCACAGCCAATGCATTTTTTTTGCCAAGGAGGAGGAGGAGGAAGAGGAGGAGGAGGAGGAGGAGGAGGAGGAGGAGGAAGAGGAAGCCAGACAGGGAAAGAAACACCCTGGTTGGGTGCTGGATCAGCCAGTTACTTCCTGGTGTAAGACTTTGGACTCATATCATGCTAAGAGCTGGGGTCTCAGTGATCTCCCTAATCCATTCCAGTGCTGGCCTACCAACATTCCCAAGGAGGATGTTCTCTGCAAGCTCGGCCCTGGCTTGACCACAAACCTGTCCCTTCTGGGGCCTTTAAAGATCTAAGTTGGTGGAGCTTCTTCCAGGACTGGGCCGTGCCAATGGTCCTGGTGGTGGGCAGATTTTATGTGTCCTGGAAAGCCACAATTCTGGACCTCCCTGTGTTGTCTCCTTTGTGGTCCCCATGCCACAGCTCAGCCACCAACCCTGCCTGGAGCCTCCAGGCAGCACTCAGGAGTAGGTAGAGCAGAGCAGATAAGGGACCTGCCAACCAGGATGCCACATGAAAAGTCATTACCTAGCAAGCATAGAAAAAACTGTAACCCTGTAATCTAATGTGTGAGCGTGATATGATACTGTCTATCCCCTCCTTCTACCTTTGTCACAAACCAGCTCTAGCAGGTCTGGGCCAGAACCCATCGGCAGCTGGGGGCCCGACGCGTCCTAAAAAAGTTAGAATCTCAGCTAGGGTCTCTTTGTACTTTGGAGTCTCTGTCTGGCCCCTCCTTAACAGGATTCACTAGAGGACAGAACTTTGGTTGTCAGGGTAGGGATTTGATAGACACCATCATGACCCTCAGACAAGCTCAGCCCTCAGTTCCAGCAGATAGAGCAGCTGCTGGAGAGACCCGGAGTGCCAAGCCTTGGGTCTCTACTTGACCTCAGGTTTCAGCCTTGTGCATTTTCCTCAGCCCAGTCTTACATTCAGGGAGAAAAAAAAAAAACAACGCTTGCATTATAAGTTTCTTTCACAGGCAGGGTCCTTTATGGACAGGATGGAGGAAATTTTGGTAAACGTTTGGGAATTCATGATTCATTGAAATGTCTCCTTGCATTCCCAGCTGAGTTGCAAAGTTCTCTGGGCTGGGAGCATTGGACTGTCTAGAACTGTCTGGAAGGTAGCATTGGGTGTGTCCATGAGCTCACGCCGACAGGATTTCTTTGCCACAGACATTTGGACAGGGATGGTCTAAGTTGTGCCTGGCGATTGGCAGAAACCACGCAGAATGGAGCCCAAAGTCCATGCGCCCATTGACCAGCGGATGTCTGGCTGGTCACACGTGGCCCCAGGGTGTCCTGAAGGCTTTCTCGGCTTGAGTTGGGGGCATTGGAAGTCAATCGGATGATCCAGCGGGAAGAAAGGACTTGCTGTCTGTTGCCCAGGCCACTGGACCAGAAGACCTTCGTTTCGGATAAACCTTTGTGACTAAAAGAAAAAAGAAAAGGGAGTGAGTTCTCTGTGAGATATTAAAGAAGCAGAGCTCGTGTGCGTGCATGCATGCTTAATATTTATTTTTCCTAGCTTTTATAAAAAGCTGCAAAAATCTCTCGCACTGACTCCGGCGCCACCGATGGCCGATACAAACGCCTGATGGGCGATGATGATCTGCGAGGCTTAGAAATGGGAACGTCGCTCTTCTAAAGGTCCAACTGCAGTACTGGACAGTGACTCTTGTTCTTTCTCTGCCAGAAACGCTCCCCAACCTTCTTGGGCCCGAGCAGTGCGTTTCGTTGAAAGCGGGAGTGCAGCCCGAGCGGGTTTGCATTGCGGCCCTCTGCACCTCCCCACCGGTCTCTGGCAGCTGTCAGGTCTGCTGTGTCTTCCACAAGGGCCGCTGGCATTTGCAAACTCCACCACCACTCGATTTCTGTTTTGCTCACCGTGTAGGACCGGGCCAGATGCTGGGTTTCTGCTCGTCCCGGCTTGCTGAAAAGTTCTCACGGCACCCCAAGCGCAGGCAAGGTTGCAGGGCCCTGGGCTCAGTGGCTGCGCTCTGGAAACGGAATAGACTATGTTGTCGCCTGTGCCGCACGTGGCTGTGAATATAACAGGCCCCAAGGGTCAGAGCAGCACGGATCCCAGGAGGTCACTCTGCCTCTCTGACCTGCGAGCCTTTAGCTTGCGATCCACGCGGCAGTATGGAGGAGGCCCGGCTTTCGAAAACGGTTTGGGGGCTGCGGCCCCACCCGCGATCTTGTGCAAACGAAAAGAAGGGGCGCCAGGGCTCCCGACGCGTTTGGAGGCCTGCAAGGCAGCCGATCCGCCTGGGAGGTGCCAGCAGCAGGCGGGGTTTGAGGCGACTACCAAGGTCTGGCCGCCTTCCTGCGACGCCTGTCTCTGTCCCTGCCCCACCCGCGGTCTCTGCTCTGGCCCGGTGAGCTTTCGATGGTGCCTCACCCTGTACCGGGCTCCTCCGAGGGGAGATGGGGGACGCTGGAGTAGGGGGCCCGACATCCGGCGAGTGGCCGGTTCATGGAATTTTCAGGAAGCTGCTGAACTCAGCCC